CATAAGTGTAATATGATAAGAATATCAAATAACTGCACAATTGAGTACAAAGACTTAGATAATTGCAAAACACAAAGTCAAAAAATAATAACAAAGCAAATAAGTAGTCTCTTCTCAAGACTCAATAAACAGGATAGCTTGGGTAAATTAACAAGACTTAGAATAGCTTAAGGATATCAAAAAACAGGCTTAACAGAAGATATTTGGGACAATAAAAGAAAATTAGAAGTTAAAAAGTTTTGGAAAAACAATCTAATCTGCTAAACAATACTAAAGCAAAAAAAATAGGTATAAACATTAAAATAAAAAAACTCTTATGAAAAATTTATGAATATAATAAACAGATAAGAGACATACTAAAAACAAAAACATGAATAATAATTAGTAATACAATAAATAAATAGGGTTATTATACTTGAACCAACTTATAGATATAAAAGGTAACAATCAGATTATATGGAGACAGCTCAAGAGTCTTCAAAGTCTGTTATATAAAGAAAAAAAAAGCTAAATATTTTAGTGAAATAGAAGAAAAGATGTTAAGAAAACAAGCAAGCAGAGAAATACAAGACTATTACAAAATAAGAAGATATAACATATAAGCATTAAAGATCAAATAGACAAAGATGTCTGAAAACCAAAAGAAAAAAAAAAGACTCATACATAAACCAAAACACAACCAACAATTTGACAAAATAATTAAAAAAAAAGGTATTAGCAAAGTATTAGTTAATATATATAGAAAAAAGAAAGATATTAACAGAATTAAGTATATGCAAAGGTTGTAAAAACAGTTCAAAACAGACAACAGATATATGCAAAAAATAAATAAGACAAGACCACAACATAAAAGTAATATCAGAGTTACTAATAAAAAAAACCAATAATAAAATAAATGCAATATTAGAGCAGATATTGGAAGATAGAATAATAGAAGAATAGAAAAAAGATGAAATGAAGTTACTAGAAATAAGACAAACAAATAAATTAAAAATAGAACTTATTAGAAAATAAGAATTAAATAGCATGATTACAAATTAGTTAGTAGGAATATTGATATGAAACAAAAAAAAAAACAAGTGAAAATACAATTTCTATATTGATAAAGTATTATATAAGAAGAAAAAAAAACAATACAGAAAGAATAAGTATTGGTTAGGTACAAGTAGGAGAGAAAGAAAATTGGTTAAAGAAGAAAATTATATTGAAACTTGAAGGTTGGTCTTTAGTAATAATAGCAGAATTAGTAATAATATGAACAGCAATTCTAATAGTATCAGAAGAAAAAAGCATAGAAGTATTTACAAACAGCATTGCAGCATTAAGAAATATTAATAAAGTACTTCAAAATATAGAAAAGAAAAGAACTCTGAAAAAGAAAATGCAATGTGGATGATGAACATTGTAGGTCTTATCAAGAGCAAGAACATTAAGATAGAAATAATTAAAGTTAAAAACCATAATGAAAATAAGTAAAATGACAGAGCAGACTTTTTTATAAAAAAAAAAGCAAATTGTTGGAATATAATATATGCAAATAAAGTCAAATATGATGAAATAGAGTACTATTTAAAATAGAAAAATAAGAAAATTGATATATCGGCAAGACTTCTGTGTAAAATAATAGTAAATGCCAAATTAAAAGTCAGTTGAAAAGAGACAAATCCAATATGAATATTAGAATCAGAAACAGAAAACATACTATATAATTGATTAAGTTTTAGAAAAAAATGAATAAAACAAAAAGAATTTATTATATGTCAAGAAAACTTAGTACAAGAAAAGCTACAGCAATTAAGTGCATAATAGACAGTCTACCAATACTTGAAAAGCTAAACAGAAGAGAATCAGAAGTATATACAACAGCAGAGTGCCAAGTATGCCAAATTGAAAAAAAAGACTCAGGCATATTTAGCAAGTTGTAGTAGACAAAAGAGTTTGTAAAAGTAGATTCAAAAAGTTACAACAGCAACAGTATGAAACAGACTCAAAAAAAAAAAAAACAGAATTTCATCACAAGTCTATATAAGGCATTATTTGAAGAAACAGAAACTAAAGAAATCATAAACAAAAAAATACTAATAAAAGAACTTATGATACTAAAAGTAGAAAAAAGACTTGAGTAACTCTTAAGCAAGCAGATAATACAGAAATGCATAGATATAGTTACAAGAACAGTATAGAATACCTTCTATAACCAAGTATAAAGAGTATAATATGAAAAAATACAAGCTTAAAAGAAGATCAATATAATGAATAAAATAAAAAAAGATGCTTGTACAAGAAAGAAAACAAAGAAAAGAGTAAAAAAAAATAAATAAGCAAAAGAAGAAGAAAAAGAAAAGAAAACAGAAAAGACAAACCAAATAAAAAATAAAGTTTTGAAAACAATAATATGCTTGTCACAAAAGGAAGAAAACCCTTCTGATATGGCTTTAAGTAGTTAGATGAGCAGTCTATCTTTAACTAAGATAGTACAGCAAGTTGCACTTAGATACCATTAGGGTAACCAAGTAATATTAAACTTAGTTATTAGGAAATTCTATGTAATTGTATATATATATAGTTTCAAAAATCTTAATAAAGTACTAGCATAACTGCTTAAGATTAAAAAAAAATAAAAAATAAATAAATATATAAATATGTGCCTTGATACTAGCTTTATTATTGTGATCTCTAATCAACTCTCAAAAGAAATAGAAAAAGAAACTATTAAGGATATGGTATAACAAATTTTACAGAATAAACTTAGTATTAAAGATATAAGAGCCAAAGCTTATATCTTAGCACTATTAGCAAAAAAACTAAATCTAGTTTATTACATCTTTCTTAACTTCAAATAGATAATCTAAGTAAGTCAGAAATTAAATGTTTTAATAGATTTTTAAAAGACTATGATTTAATTTCTAAATATTTATAAAAAATAGGTACTGTTTATTATGTGATAGTATATGAAACTAAAAATATAACCTATGTATATATAATTACTAAAGAGTGTCTAAGACATTTAATTAACAATTATACTTTTTAGTACAAAATTATGTTGTAATTAACTACAAAAAAAAAACAAATATCAGAGTAAGCAAAACTATTTTGTCTTTATAATAAAGACTAATTTCACTTCTTTCTTTCACTATATGTATAGTTGTTTTATCATTATTAAATTCAGATTCAAACTCAAATATGAATGTTGTCTCAAATGCTGTATCATTAAAAATTAGTTTTTTTCTTTTAGTTTAACATGATGTACAATTTTTTTGAAAAATATCTGAATTTATTATGTTTAAAAAAAACACTTCTAAAGGACCTGAGTTGATGATATCTTGCTAAATCTCAAGTTTAATTATCTCTAATAATTTGTAAAAAAAGATCAAAATCTTTTTACATAATATTTGTTTAACAAATTTAAATATTATTTTCAGAATATTGTTGCCAAAGAAAACTGTTTTATGCTTATTTTTAATCATTGAATTTAATTTAGTTTTTATTAATATATAAAAAAATATCAATTAATATAGAAAATAAATCATAATTAAAAACCTATTAGATGTATTATTTTCTATACTATGCTGGTAAGCCTCTTCTTGCAGGTTTTAAATCTTATTATCCAAACTAAATAAATGCATAATCAAATTTGAATCAAAAAATTAGTATATATAATTAACATGACTAAATTAAAAAAAAATATCAGATAAGTTTACCAATAACTTGATCTAATATATAAATCTGCTTAATAAAGATAAGTATAAACATGTATATAATTTAGAAAATAGTTTTATTATAATTAAAAATAGGTGTAAAGATACTGTAATTGGAATATTTAATTATTCTGAATTGCTCAATTATTTAGAAATAACACATATAGGTCTTTTGTAAATTTATCAGTAAAACTAAACTTAATAGATTTTTTTTCTTGCTTATCCTAATGTATATTAATGATACTTACCTTAAAGCTAAAATTATAATAATTGTCAGTGAAGATTAAATGATTTTGTTTTATACTAAATAATTTATAAATAAACTGATCATTAAACCTGAAATTAGATTTCATAATATCTGAAATTAATTTTTTAGTAAAGAATATGAAATAAGTATATAACAAATTGCAAAGACTTATCTGGATAAAATTCAAGTAATTGTATCAATTTGGATATTATATTCATTTCTCTTAACTAACAAATTATCTTAAACAATGTAAAAATATTATATAATCAGGTAAGAGTAAAATAATAAGAAATATTTTTTTATTGTAAACCAGATAAGCATATTGTATACTAACTCTTTCAATCTTACAAAATTTTATCTTTGAATATGTTTACTAACCCAACCTTCTATAATATTTCATGTCTCAAAACTCTCACATTGAATATTCTTAAAAATGACTCTGAATATTATTGCAAAAGTCATTGAAGTTTTAGAACTAGATTTATGCACAAGATGTAAAAAAGAACTTTTTTTGTATAAACTTAAAAAACCATTTACAACACTCATCTGTGATTACATATTTCATTGTAACTGTCTTGAGGATTATGTAAAAAACTTCCACAATGCCCTAAATGTGCAATAAAGATTGAACCTATTGGTTATACACATTATTTCGGCAGTTCTGGACCTAATTTATAGAATCAGGAACAAAGTACTTCAGACCCAATGCAAATTTCACCACAAATGACATCTAGTCAAAGCCAGAATACAGTAACCCAGATACATCTCTTATTTTTAACCCTACCTTATTATATGATCCAACAATTTATCCAAATTATGTAAACCTTACCAAAAACAAAGAGCCTAAATCTAAAAAAAGATTACATGAAAAAAATGCAAAAAAGAGCCTTCAAATCTAAAAAAATTAATAGATGAATTATTTACTGAAGATCCGAATTCTGCAAAAAATAATATTTCTATTGCGAAGCAATGACTCTTCGAGCCTACACAGTCGGTAATGATACCAACTACTGAAAATGATCCTGATCCATAAAATTTTTTCAACTTATATAAAGAACTTATTAGTGCTGAAGATGATAATAGAAAATCGAACCAAGAAGTTATTAAAAGATATTATAATTTTGGATTAAATCTTACAAAACGCCTAGAATATCATAAGAAATCTCACAAAAAGCAAGTTACCAAAATTCTAGTAAATGACGAAGTTAGAAATCAAATTTCCAAAGAGGTTAGTGATGATGCACTTGGAAAGAAAACGGAACGAGCACGAAAAATTTACAACCTTTTTGATGCCATTGGTGAGGATAAAATAGTACGAGTTAGATCTTTTACAGTGTTAACAATTTCTAAGTTAAGTAAGGAAAATATCAATCATGTAATACTTAGAAATCAAAATGATCGGCTATTGCTGCGCCATTATCACGTGATACCGTGACCTCTCGAGGTCACAATCTATATTTTTTTTATCGGTATAGCCCATTTTTTGGTATTATATGTATATAGATGAAATTAAAATTTGATACCTATCGCTATATGTAATTTGTTTGTAAACGGGTCACAAATACAAGTGCCACATATTACAAGTTTCTACGTATAATAAAAAAATAAACCAGAATTAGTGATTTGGAACGATATCGGTGAGACATAAATAATGAAGTTTTTCTATATACAAAGATATTTCATTAACATATTTGTAAGACGGGATACAAGCACGTTTTTTTCTGAAATTAGTACTCTAACCAAAGTCAGTCAATTTTAACTTTATTTTCTTTGTGGAGGAACAACTCCGGACCAAACCCTAGATGCGCATACATGACGGGATATTAAGTTCCTTATCGTTATTTGAACCCTATTTTAGCCTTTAATGGCTCTATAACTTGTGGCGCATGACGCATACGTTTAATTAAAAAGGATTAAGAACAATTGTAATTCGAGCTTCCAATGAATCAGTGGGAAATTCGGAGACATTGGAAAGATTAGATAGAATTCGTACACAGGTTAGTGATTTTTTGATGTCGCGGATGATCGTAAAATTCGGATGATTAAAGTTCAAATTATTGTCGTGAGTTGACCGATATCATACTGTATAAATGGCATATTAAAACCGATAATACATTTGTAGCTAATTTATAATATCTAATCACGGCATCTCGTTCAGGCTTCATATTATAAACTAAAACGATACAGCATTTTATAATTTTGGACTTTTACTGAAATTTAAATCAATTTGTAATGCATCGCCATGAGACAAAATTATTTATGACTTGTAAGGTATAATCACAGAAAGTTGACTATATTAAGAAACTACTATCACACGCCATTGTTATGATAATTCTTAGAAAATTTGTCTTGGGTATGGTTTTCTCTCTTTCTCTTTGGAGTAAAATATGTTTTTCGGACAAAGTTAATCTTAAAATGTTTCGCGTTTGAGTTGCAATGAAATATTTTATTATATGGGTGGTTCATCTTCTTTGGGTCGGGTATTAATTTTGCTTTTTTAACAATGCATTGCTAAAATGAAAAATAAATAGATAAATAAATATTATACTAATTAAACTAATGGCATAATCGCAGAATACCAGTATCATACTTTGAAAAAATATAAGGCCACTCATGTGCTACGAAGACACTTGATATCCGTAAGTTGTGCCGGAAAATTAAAGGTTGGCCCCTCTAAACCGAAGTATAGTCCATCATCAAGAAGATCTATTCCTATTATTTGGCCATTCAGACCTTGAACAATGATTAAAACGTTAAATATATGATTATTTACTAACTCCAGCTACAAATGTAATAAACCTACCAGAAAATTGAATGCCTAATATTTTTGAATCCTGAACATCCTCATTTGACAAATCTTCCTTTAAGAAGTTGTCGAGAACACCTTTTAACGTTCGTAAACATTTTGAACGATCATGTACAACTTTTGCGGGTGTAGGAGCCCTTGCACATTCCGAATGACTTAGTCCGAGCCCTTTTGTTTTATGAATGATCTTCAAATCGATTTTTCGACGACGATCATGCATGACATTAGATAATGTCTCTCCCTATGTATATAACTATAATCAAATATCATTGTTCATTGGTATTATTATGTTATTACCAATAATAATCTTACCAGCGAAGTTTCAAATAATTCAAGACGTCACTAAACATAGTATTCATTATTGGTGCTGTCATGGTAATTGCATATTCAATTTCACTGAGTTCCTGACATTTGCCTGTATTGTCTACAAATATAAAAGGATTTTTTAAAAATTCATCAATCCTAATAATAATTTTAACAGCATTAATAGGTAATTAATACGATTAAACCACGAAATCAAAAAAATTAACTTACACATAGAAGTATATCGTAGCTATTTGTTCTACTGTTTGAGGACAGTCACTTGCTCTCATTTTATATAGATAGTCACGAGCTTCATGATATCTGTACCTCTCACACATCTGTAATAAATAATATATAAAGTATATAACGTATATATATAGATCCATAAGTTTAAAAAATGAATACCTTCCTCTTCAACAGTGTCAATAATATTTTTTATTTCTCCTTCAAAGATAGGTGGTTCCATATTAACAATTTCGTAAACCTTTCTTTTAATATCTACCCATTCTTGGCCAAACCAGGTAAACATTCCATTTTCAAACTCAGAAGATAAATCGATAATCGAGGAAAGACCCAATCTATGTTTACTATATTAGAAACCAACTTACTAATAATATATTTCAAGAATTAAGAAAGCATACCGGATAACACTCTTTATAAATTGCGTTTGTACTTTTTTATCCTTTTCTAAAATTAATTTCACAGCATCAGCAGTTTTAGTGTTAATAATATCAGCAATCGGTCGACCATCTTTCAGTTTCCACCCAGATTTTATTCTACTTTGATTTAAGTAATCATCAAACGAAACTGTATTGATATCAAAGAATATAGCATCTTCATCTTCATCTGATTTATCATTTTCGCCGGATTCACTTTCTGAACTTGTAAAAAATGAAAACCGACACGGACTGTGTCCATAAATCTCGGTATATACTACAGATTCATCAGGGTCTTGTAATCGTGTAGAAGAGGAAGTGGCTATAGAACGCCTACTTGTTGTTTTAATCTGCATATATATACACAGAAAAAGTTTGAGAAGGATAATTTATAAATAATTATTGTAATCACTAACCTTTTTATGACTGCTTGAAGAAACAGTTGCAATAGTATTATCATTTGTAATCGAATTCACTGAATTTTTTTCTGATTCAATATAAAATTCAATTTCATTTCGTTCAAAATTTCATTGGCCTTATTTCCCGCAAAATATTGATTAACAGCAAATTGGACCTAGAAAAAATTAAACAAAAGATAGAAATAATGTAGTCTTTACACAGTTTGACAATTAATATTGATCATTGGACTTACATCGGCTTTTTTTAAACTCACTTCCGCTTGTTTAAGTTCAACTCTTGTCCAAAACATTTGCACATCTTTTCCATCTGCCTGAAGCTTTAGAACCAGCGAAAGAATAGTCAAAACAAAGAAACTACCTAAAACCTGAATATAGCACAGTCTTTTTGCGGGCTACGAACGAACGCATAGCTCTTGGTACCATGACACGTAGCCTTCTAACCTTCACGCAGACTTAGGATGAAGCCCACCGGATACGTAACCCATTCCCAACCCGACGCGTAGCCAGGTAGCTTAGGTGGTTGTTTTGACACATAGCCCAACTCCTTCCCTATCCCTTGCATCCAGAATTAAACTTGAATGAATACTCGCCTTTAATGTTCCATCATTAAGAACCGAAAAAGCTTTTTTCCACCTTTCATCCGCAGGTATTTTGTTACAATTAATGTAAGACACGAACTTAGATATTGTGAAGTGTTCGGAATGTTTATCACAAGTGAAATCATCTTTTAAGATACGGAAATTTAAGATAGAAAGGAGGCTGAGGTTATCAGGATCTAAAGTTGTTTCCCAGTTTCAAACTGAATTTATAAAAAGAAAAAAAAAGTTAAAAGCTATAGAATAAAAAGCAACCATTTAAACTCTTAAAACTCACTTTTTTGTTAAGCCAGTAAATTTTGTCGTTCATTCTTAACGTTAAGGCATTCAGGGAATGTGTAAATATATGAGTTGTAATATAAAACAAACCGAACGCGAAGTGCAAAATTTTATTGCAATTTTATTGGTTGCCACACGTGTGGACAATCCAGTAGTAAAGCAGCTGTTCTCATAAATTCTGGGACAATTGATAAAAATTGATCTGCCGAATTCGAATGTTTTTGAATTAGGTGTTATCGAATTACTGTAATGCCGAAAATCCAATTCCGATAACACTGAATTCAAAACTTATGATGAACCTAGCAATCCCCTAAAAAAAAGTTACGTAACTGAGATTAAATTTTGCTTTAATTTTGTGATGACGATTTATTATTATTTTATTAAGAACAATTTATTAATTATCGATTTATTAATAATCAATTTTTTAACAAAAATACATTTTTTTGGCTTTTCATTCTAACATCATTTGTCTAATGCTATTTAGTTATTACACAATGTCAAGTGAAACACTTAAGTATTGTAAAGGTTGCTGATCATTTAAAAAACCTGAAAACTTTTTTGAACAAAAAAGTTGTAATGAGTGCTTAGAACAGGCAAAAATAAATTCAAAATGATGATATGAAGAAGAAAATGAAAAAAAATTTTAATATGAAAAAAAAATCCATACTTTTGAGTGATTTGACACAGGCTATCTACAATTTCTTAACTTCAATATCAGAAATTGATGAAAATTTGGAAGACAATATTAGATTCTTTTTTGAGTATTGTGTTGATTTTATAAAAATTTTAGATTTTCAAGAAAGTGATTTGTCCAAATCATCAATTATAAATAAGCTTATTAAAAATGTTCAAGCTGGTAATGGAGCAGCATTCTATTTGTTAGCAATAGCAGCTCTTCAAAAATCTTCAAGTCATTGTTTTGGGTCTTGAGTTTTATCATCATAAAAGAAGTCAGTTTTTAGAAGGGCTCTTTTACTTCTATTCAAAGCAGTGATAAAGTCAGTCATAACTTATACAGCATCTTGTAAAGCTTGTTCTGTCATATTAACAGATGGATTAGGAAGGTTATCTAGAATAGGTAGGAGTAAAGAAAAAAATTAAGGTTAAGGTTGAATAACAATAAACTGAAGTTGGGATTAAATAACAATAGGTTGAAATTGGATAGTGATAGGTTGAGATTAAAGAAGAGTAAGTTAAGATGAAGATAAAAAAGAAGGATTATCTTTAAGAATTTGTTGAGATGAATTAGTAAAAGTGTAATGTGACTTAAAGATTTCTGTAAGATCTACAGAAGCAGTAATATATTTTTCTGTTTCTAAATTGTAAATAGTTAATAGAGGTATTCATGAAGTCCAATTAGAAGTATAGTGACTTTCAGAAAACTTAGTAGGTGTAACTAATTTACTATAAGAAGTTAAGTTATCTGCTGGGTTATATAAGAAAGGGATATTATCAGTAAAGGTAATATCAGTAGTAGGTGGTAAAATAGAACTTTCTAAATTTTCAAAATATTAAATAAATTTTTCTGATTCTTTGAAACTAAAACTTAGAAGAATATTGAAATGAAGATCAAAGACATTTTGGTATTTAAAAAGTAAGATAAGAAGTTGAAAAACATTAGTAGGGGTTTGCAACCTGGGTTCATGCCTGTACCTAACAAAAAATCTAGGCATGGGCATGGATACAAAAACTCAGGCATGGGCACATGCACAAAAAACTCAGCATAGGCATAGGCACAGGCACAGAAATTTGATATTTATTATTTAATTATGTCTGGCACTTTGTCTGACACTTGTGCCTAATACCTTGTGCCCAGCATTTTGTGCCTATGCCTTTAATAATGCCTGGCATTTTTGTGCCTATGGGCACAGGCATGGCATAAGGCACTAATGCCTGGCCTGATGCCAATGTGCCAGACATGGGCATTTGCAAACCTCTAAAAATTAGTATATCTTCTAACTAAAGTTAAAGCTATTATCCTAAGATTACCAATATCTTGTTAGTATCAACAACTAAAAATAATATCTTTAATATAAAGGTGAATTATAATTTAGTTTGGGTATAGAATAGTAAGAATAATAAAATTGTTCTGAGTTTGAAATGAATAATGTTAAGTTACAAAGTTGGTTTGGTATCAAGTTCAAAATTATCCAAAATTTGAGTAAAAGTTAGTATATCAAGAGAAGTAGTGTAATAGAATTTATTTTTTTTTCCTATATTAGTATATATTTATTTTTAGCTCTATATTATATTTTATATTTTTCTTAATATTTTTACATAGTTTATAGAT